CCCCCCCCCCCCCCGGAGCTCACGTTTCAATTCTGTATTTATTGAGGACTGTTTGGGGAATTGGCGTTGTTGACCTAAGATTTTAGAATTTTAGAAGAAAAGGATAATCACAATGTACGTTAGAATTGAACTTCAAGGTTATCGTGTAACTTTGTTATTTTCCATTTCACTCCTATTCGTTTCCTCACGAACATAGGAGACTCAATTCTGTTCAGCATGAAAGAACAGTTTCAAGCAAGTCATTAAAACTTCAGAACATATAAAATCAGACCAAGTTTCTTAATGTTTATCCTTGTTTTTTTTCTTTTTCTCGAACACCTTATAGTGTGTTATCGCAGGATATCAGATCACATCATCAAAGGAAACTGTAGGATTTAAAAATAACTAGAAATGCTAAAAAATTCCAGTTAAAAGCAGAAGCTAGAAACCTATAAGCATACTTGATAGTGAAAAAATCATCTCATGAAGAAACGTACCTGCAGAGCTCCTCGAGGTTCATCCAGCCTCGAAGGTCGCTTTTCAGTTTTGTACTTCTTGATCTTTACTATATGCTCCAACAGCTTTCGAGTTCACAACTCCATTCTTTTCCTTCTTTTCCAGAAAATTCTCCATCTTCAAGAGATTGGACTCCTTAACCGATTCTTCCATCGCTTCTCTATATTCAACTCTCTTCTCAAATTCACCGCGTTTTCCTCCTCCTGGTCCTGTATCAACGTCGTCTTCATATTCACTTTTCCTCCAACGCTCATCACTGATGCTATATCATCTCATACCACCGCCTCGCGTACTGCTGCTGTCGATCGAATGGCTTCAAATCTCATTATTCCGTCGAGAAATTTATCGTTTGCACTATCCTTCTTTCTCCCCAACTCACCGATCCCTGCCGCCAAGTTCCGTGGCCTTCTTCGTTTCCCCGTTCTAATTCATAAAAACATCGAAGTTGGGAATTCGCGCCACTTAAGTAAATAATTTAATAATTATTCAATATTATTTGTATGGTTAACTTAAGCTAAGCTTGGTTGAATTGATAAAGGCACATATTACATAGCCAGAAAATCAAATTTCATATATAAATCTCACACATAATTAATCTCGTAGGTAAAATCAAGAATTTGGTTTTTGGAATTCAAATTTCATTTCAAAAATTTCACCATACATAAAAAAATTACCAAAATACCTCGCACTTTTTTTACTTCCTCGTGGTCACTATCGTCCATTGTTGGCAACCACGAGCGATCGTTTTTTCTAGAAACCATCTCAACCAACAACTACCTCCCTTTGCCATCGAATTTAGCCAGCAACCATCTTCATTGACCACCACTACTATCTACCAGCAAAGAATCGTTGTCGCCTCATCACTACCATCATAAATTTATAAGTAACTAATACATCTCGACCTTCAAAAGTAGGGTCGTCGCTAAATATTTACGAATATACAATGAATTTGAATATTTATTCTCAATAAAAAAAAAACAAAAAAAAAACATTGTATTGGGCTTTAAATGGGCCGGCAATTGGAAAAGGAAACCCAAGCGGGAGCCCAATTGGACCCATCAGCAGTATGGTCATTCAAGAAAGAATGAAACACGGGCGGAAGAGACTACCAAAAACTGATTTGAAAGTAGTTAAAATGATATTTTTAATACTTTAAAGTTATTTTAATATTTAATTTTACAGTCCTAAATATAATTGAGACTGATTTTATTACGTCATATTTAAAATTACTTTTTCAAAAAAAAAAAAAAAAAAAAAAAAA